TATTCACCTACCAAGGTGAATGAATAGTAATGGCCAGAGAAGCCCACTACAGTTAAGGAGGCTACGTTATTGTGGTTTCAACTCTCTCTCAACTACTCAACTCCTAAACGCAAGTCTTTATAAACAAGGCCGCTGTGCGGAGAAATAAGTTTATTCAAAGTTTAATTGAAACTTCAGTTACTACCTCCCATTCTCTAGTCTTCTTTTTCCTATTTCTCATTGACATTTTTAGTTATATAGATTAATACTTTAAATTTAAAATGAATCAATACACATAGATTTTATGTGAAAATTTTTTTTTCTTACAGTTTTAAATTATAATTAAAAATCTTTTTCAAAATAATTTGAAAAATTCTTGTTATAAATCATTAAATAACAATATATAAAATATATTTTAAATAAAGTTAAAGTAGAAAATTAAACTAATTTTCAATATCATTACAAAAAAAAAAAAAAAAAAATTTTAGAGACGAATCAATAATAAAACCCAAAAAAACCCAAATTTACCCAATAAAACCCAAAATTACCCAAAAAAAACCAATGGGCCGGGTTTTTTTAAAAAAACTCGGGTTTTTGCCAACTCTTGCTATAGTAGATATATATAAAACTTAGCTATTAGTTGAGTTGGATGTTAGTATAGATTTTATAATACATATTAGTATGGATCTTATTATTAAGGATGACTAAGAATGAACACTAAGAAGTTTCAGGTGAGCTTCATAAAAAATCAAAATACTATGCACATAAAATTTAGTTTCAGATGATCTTCAAGAAAATCTAAATATTATGCACATAAAATATTTTATATATAATTATTTTTCACTAACACAAAAATAAACTAAAATGTCTATGTAGATATTTTTCAACATCTTAAGCAATATTTGGTCTATAACAGAGATTACTTTGGGTTAGTCGTTTGTTATCACTATTTGTAGCTGTACCTTCGCTAATTAAACAATACCTATAGATAAAAATAGCACAGTTTAACAAAACATGTATAACAACACCTTTAGATAAAAATAGCACAGTATAACAAACTTTTAATTAATTTTAAATTGCATTTCCGCTTGTTCCACAGTTAAGACAAACTCTTTTTCTGGCATCAATGAAGTTTTTATAAGGAAAAATTTTAAATTTTAGCTCTTCAATTTCAGACAAAATAATGGCTTTCTGATCTAATATTGCATGTTTTTTATTCTTTGACTTCTCTTCCTCAAGTATGATCTGGTATTTTTGATGTGCAGATTCAAAGGCAACTTTCATTTCTGATGATATCTGGACAGAATGGGGGTGGAGGTTGTTGGTAAGCATGAAATCACGCACAAGACGCCGTCCAACAATATCATCTGTTGATATATTATTGGTAACCACACCCTTATTGACACTAAACCCCCGTTCAACTGATGCCAGTCCATGACTTAGAGTCAAAACCAACTTAATGACAAATGACAACTCTGGATACTTTTTTATGTCAATGTTTTGAAGTAAAAATTATGAAGAAGTTTATTCTTTCGATCATAACTAATGAAAGCATCCTAATTCATAGCCAATTCTGATAGAATAAACTTTGAGAACTGGCTAATAACTTTGTCAGAATAAGAAGCAGTTAATATTCCAAGTGAAATAAGATGATGCAGCAATATTTTCATTTGGTTCCTATTTTTTCAGGTGTGATCTGAGCATAAAAATTTGGAAGCAAACAAGTACTTGTGTTAACACTCACGGAATCGAGGGGACATCTTTATATATATATATATATATATATATATATATATATATATATATATATATATATATATATATATATATATATATATATATATATATATATATATATATATATATATATATATATATATATATATATGTTCAGAAAAACGTCAGAAAAATTTAACAAAAAAAAAATCGAGCTACATTGGCATTTTAGTAATTAACTCTTTCCAGTAAAATTGCAACTAAAGTTAAAATTACTGATGTTATGTTTATTTTAAATTATGTTAAATTTCTTTATTGGATTCCTTGCCTTAAAAAACCTAGGAGTATATATTTTCAGCTTTTTAGTCATAACTTTGAAACCATTTGAAATTAGATCATGAAATTGTGAAGATGTTCATAACTTATGAATATCTTTAAGTGATGTAAAAATCAGCAAAATTAGACTTAGGGTTGCATTTCACGAAAAAATTGAATGTTTTAACATGGAATTACCCTGACACCATCGGATAGTTAAAAAAAAAGTATTAAAAAAAAAAAAACAGTATATTTTTAAATAGATAAGATCTTATTTGATTGTTTATGTAAATTAATATATAAAAATTGTATACTTTCTAAAAACAGCAATCAATACTTCCGTTATTGGATAGGAAAAGAGATGAAGACTCATAGACACATAGACTAACTCATACATGAGCTGTCACACTTTTTTAATAAAAATCCAGATTAAAATATTTATACATTTGTATTTTGAAAGACTATATATATTTAAAAGAAACATATTTACTTCTTAATAAACAAGTCATCAATCCTAACAAGTTTCAAGACCTCTTCTTCTATGGTTGCTATGAGAATTTGATAAAATTCATACGCATCTTGTTGGTCACCAGATATTACCCAACCATATGAATTTAATGAGCATAAAATATCTTCTGTTGAGTAGTAATCTTCATTTCCACAGTTGTTTGATAAAATTAAAAAATCATTGAAATAATTTAAAATATCAAATGGCCAATACTATACCATTATAGTTCTTTTCTCACACAATAAATCTTTGCCAGATCTTCTGTTTTTCTTTCCTCTTTGTTAGTCTTAAGCAGTTAGAGACATTTTTAGAAATTGCAACATTTAATTAAAATATTTAAATTTTATGTATTCAATTATTCCATACATTTTATGCATTGAATACTCATTACCAGTACTCAAAATCTTTTGAGTATGGTAATGAGTATTCAATACATAAGGTTGCCAATCAATAAAGATCAACTTAAAAAAATTTTGTAACGTAGATTGTCAAATAATTTTTATACAGCACTTTTTGTGTGGTGTAACCCTAAATAACACACAAAAATAGCTCATTTATAAAAAAAAAAAGTATTACAAATAAGTTTTAAATAAAAATTCTTACCTTATTATAATAGTGTTCTTTTTGATGATTTTATTATTTTTAAAAGTTACTATGTTTGAAATACTTTTTCCTTTTTGCTACATTCAAAAGTATTTTTAAGTAATACAAGTTGTTTAACACTTTTATCTTTTAAAATGTTAAAGTGAAAACTATTTCATTTTGATTGTTACAGCCTTAAACTGTTATGGTCTTATAGTGTTTTCCATAAAAATCATGAACTCACAGTAATACTTATTATTAGGCCTGTCAAAGAAAAATTAACTTTTATTTCAATTTATTTCATAATTTAACAATTAAACTTTATAAATTTTACCAAATTATATTTAACAACTGATTACAAAAATATTTACAATAATTCTATTTATTAATAATATTTACAAAGAAAAATAATAATAATAAAATTCAAATAAACTTCATACATAAAATAAATACTTTTTGAATAAAAATATTTCATGGGGTCCCCTAACACCCTCATATATTTAATGGGTCCCTTATATTTTTAAAAATATGTCAACCTGGTACTCAAATGAAGCAAATTTATATCTAAAATAATAGTCATATCGAAAAAATTTTAACTTATTTATCAAAACTATATATAAAAACATAAAAAACCGTCTGACTCTGCTTATTATTTTATTACATAAAATAATTAGCAGAATTAGTCGGTTTTCAATCTTTCTTTTTTTGTGCAATTGACATTGTAACTTATTTAAACTAATTATTGTAACTTACTTAAATTTCAAGTCAATATATTTAAACTAATAGGGTATCGTTTGTGTTCTAAAAATAGAATTTTTTACAGAAATATTGGGATTGATATTCAGACAAATATTGCTCAGAAACAAATGAATTTCTTAAAAACGCTAGTGGCTATGGGATTGATAATCGGACAAACAAACAATTTGACGTCACCAAAACAGTACGCTTTTTATGTGTGAATATATAAAGAAGAATACAATCTATTATGTTTGCATGATTTTAGTCTATAACCAAATAAGTTTGTTAATAGGTCTTCATGTTGGCTATGGCATGACCCAAACATTGTTTTTAGTGAAATTATTGGTAATAAAATGTGAGGAATACTTCTAAATCTAAAAAATGTTTAAGCATATCTATTGATTCATTCAGTTTTAAATGCGGAAAATCTAAATAGTTTTTTCAGTTTTTTTTAATTTTATGCCATTTTAAAAACCCCATGTGCCAAAATCCAAAGCATCTGTCACTATATGTAGTGAAGCCTACAGAGATGGCTATTTTAGTAAGCAACCGTTGGAATTAGAAAAAATGAGGTCGGCAATAATTTGTAGACCTCACTCTTTCTGAGCTCGGCATCAGGTCTGCAAAAACTATTTAATACAAAGGTCTAGCCATAAAACATTGAAACAAGGTCGGCACTTTTTGCTGAATGCCGACCCTAATTCCGAGAGTTGAATAAGATATAACAAAAGATATTTTATTCAAGGCCAAGTATGTGAAAATTAAAGAAAAAGTTTTATTCATTACAACTCTTTGTAACATGAAGTGTTTGTTTTATAATTGTGTTATAATTGAGATAAAGTTTGTTTTATCTGTTGTAATCGAGATTAAGGCCTAATAGTACTCTATATTGTAAATAATTATATTATTATAATATGTTAATGTATTTAACTGAATATTTATAAATAACAAATATTTTGTTATATACAATTTTACTATTAACTATAATTTTACTATTAACAGAAATAAACAGAATTTTTCTTGACTATTTTGATTACATATCTACTTACATAATGTAACATTAATGTGACATTCATCTATTTAAAACATAATTTTATTATTAAAACATTCCACTATTGTGAAGTTGTAGTTATGTAATTAACATCAAATTGATTAAAATCAATTATCAACTTATTTAGAGCATCCTATCCTATGTTGTTAAGAAAAAAATTTAAATATAAAAACACAAACCTTTAATTAAACTGAAGACACTGGATAATATTGTATAACAATTATCTCCCAAAGTCTCTTCTAATTTATTTTGCATCCATAATTAAACTTGAGGCATTGAGGATAAAGCCTGAAAAACAAAATAAATGTATTAAGTGAATGTATGTATATATATAAATAATATTTTTATTAACATATATGATTGCTTTATTAAAATCATTTAATAACATTTTTTTTTTGTAATTTACCTCCTCAAGGCCAAGAAGGCTACTACAGATGAGGAGGCTACTCTGAATAAAGACCTTGACAAACAAGGCCACTGCGCAGAGAAACAAGTTGAGCACGACACTACCAGGGGCATGGTGGGAATTGAACTGGAACCTCTCACTTATGAAGCGAACGCTCTACCATTAAACCACTACCAATTAAAGGTTTTAACAGGTTTACAAACAGATTTACACACAGGCTTCAACAGTAACGCTTGCCTCCGCACTTATATAGGTCAGTTTAAAAAGAAAGCCCACAACTTTAAATATGTTGAGGTTTTCTATGTAGAAATTCTTCTAACACTTTTCACATGATGTAACTTAACAACATGGATGGCAAACTTCAAGTTTAAAAAAGTTTTAAAAGTTATATAATTTATAATTTAAAAATCTTTTTAATTATAAAATTAAGAAACTTAGTTTAGTGTGTCTTAAAAAAAACTTACTTGAATATAATGAAGTAATATGTAAAAAAATAGAAAAATAAAACAAATTTTTAAGTCAATAACTATTCCATATTATTGTTGTGTATCAAATAATATTATAATGAGAAACTTATTAATGCTCATTTGAGTGTGTTTGACACGATACTCATGACAGCCATTGCAATCAAGGTAATAGCGAAAAAGAGTAGCAGCACTTTTTTTTATAAGAGAAGTCAACAAAAGTCTATGCAAATATATAACTTACGCAAACTTAAAATTAAGTAATGCTAAAAGCAAAATAAAACATCACTTAAAATTTTCAAAATGTTTTAGTTTTACATTCACTTGAAAATAGAATTGATGAAACATCTCTTTAAGATTTGATCTGTAGATTTTATTTCCGTTTGAAAAAGTCTTTAATATGTTATATAGTTTTAAAATTTATGTAATACAATATGCCAGTAGGTTCGCTTTCTACCACTGGCTTTTTTCTTTTTTTTTTAATTTAATCTTTTTTTGATTTTTTTAAAATACAAAGTAAAACGTTTTTAAAGAAAGAAGTTTGTTTTTAAAGAAAGAAAGTTGTTTTGTTTTGCATTTTAATAACAAGTTTAAAAAAACCAACTGATGAGTTGAACTTGGCGCGTAGCGATCTTAACTTTTTTTAAACAGTATGGGGGTTTAAAAATGTTTTTATTGAGAACATAATTGAAAATTTTAAGTTCTATTTAAAATAAACCATGTCTTAAAATCTATAACTTTTAAAAATGATAAAAAATTAAAATTACATAACATTATGGTAATGAGGAAATTTAAAGTTTTACAACTATTTTACCACGCCCCTGTTAAACATTCTAAACCAAGTGCGCAACAATGACAGAATTTAGATAACCATCAAAATAGAATTATACTTCATATAATATTAGAAGAGACAACTCTGATGCTTTTAACTGATAATGTATAAGGCATTGTACAAGTGCATGCTGTGTGCTTTTTGTAGTTCCTATTTTACTTTTAAAAATTTCTGAAACAACTTTAAATCTGCTATTATCATTATCTTAAGTGATACAAAACGAAAAATGTTTTGTTTTAAATGATCTGTTTTAAAGGTGAGGTTAAAATTCTGTCTTGACAGGCTGGTAATTTTATAGAAGCTAAAGATGATTTAATTTTAAGTGTAAGTTGTTTCTTTTTGGTTTTAAATAATTTTATGTTAGATATTCAATCGTGTTTTATGTGAATCTATTTATTTAGTAGAGTGTTATTGTTTAGTGGCTATATTCAGGTTAGATTTTAAAAAATTCAATTAACTTTTAAAGTATCATACATTTACATTTACAAAGGTACATTTGCTTTTTTTTTAACTTTATAATTCAACAAATTTTTTTGTTTTAAGTGTTTAGAATTGAATAACAATATTTGTTTGTTATTTCATTTTTAGTGCTTAGTTCATCACATATTGTAGGTTTTAATTTATCCTTTATCTTCATCTTTAAAACTGATTTAGAAAATAAATTAATATTTACTTTAATATGATAATCCTATTTTTTGAGATATTTACTAATAGTTTGAATTGTTTTTTTTTATTCAATTTAATTACCTGTTTGTTTTTGTGATTTATTTTAAAAATTACGTTTAATTTTCTAAATTAAACTTAAGTTTACTGAAAGCCAACATTAAATAACGTCATTAAACAACACCGACAAGAACTGCTGCATCATGACAGTAACTAAAGTATGGTAACAGGTTACTAAAAGCAGCTGAATTGTTTTCCAGTCATTTTTTTATCCTTTTTTATGTTTACTTTTTTTTATGCCTTTTTTATGCCTACTTATCTGTTACACTTTTTATTTTAGGTTTGTCGTATGAAACAATATAAAAGATCAAAATTATTTTTTTTTTTTAATTTGTTATACACATGTTTGATTGTAAATTGTTTTTTTTTTTTTTGAAACGTATTAGTACTCAATTGCTTAGTTATTTATAATAAACTTAGTTATTTTTAATAAATTTATTTAGTTAAGTGCATTTAAAAAAAATTTAACCTGAGCTGGGATACCATAAATTAATAACTCCTGTATAATATAATAAACTCCTGTATAATAAATAATTAAGGTTTATGTTATAAAAAATATTACAAGAACTTAGTTGATATTTAAAAAGATTGCGAAGTGTTATTATTTTGTGTTGAAATTAGAAGTGTGGATAAAAATGGTTCTGCCTTACACTAATACGACCTATGTTGTAAATTACTCCAATGTAACCAGTTACCAGTTACCAATGTTACCAGTTGTAAATTACTCCAATGTGATAAATAATAATTGGTAAATTATCTTACCTCCTCATACTTATTATGTTAATTTTACCGAGTGATAAACTTGTTCAATTTAAAGGCGTTTTTCTAAAAGGGTATTAGTTAAGAATTCGCAACTTTAAATTGTGGAAAACAGCCACTATAAAACAGACCGACCATAACCTGTATTATGGGTTACTTTTTGCTAGTATATATAAATAAAAATTAATATATAAGTTTATAGAATTTGTAAAGTATTGAAAGTTAATCATTAATGATGAGCCGTAGCATTTTGGTCTTTTTTAAAAATTAATGAAATAAAACAAAATTATTATAATGGTAGGTGTGGAATAGATTTACCATGACCAGTAACATATTAATGTTCAGTAAATATTATACGGGTCATATTATTTTTCTTCTGGTTCTTTAGTGAAACCAGCGGTTTCTTTGCAGGGCGTCGAAAAAACAATCCGGCTTCAACAGCACGTTGTCTGATTGTTCGGTCCGTTACAGGCAGCTCCAATTGCTTTGGAACCTCGACTGATGATATCTAGGGATCCTCTCTAGAAGTGGTGGAGCGCGATCTTCCACCTTTGTTATCTGATGCCAACTTTTCGTAAAACGATATTTAGAACATAGTCTTGATACGGTCCATTTTTTCACGCAATATTTATCACAAATATTTTTTTGTGACATTCCACTTACGTAATTGCCAATAATTTTCTTTCTTAGTTCCAATCCAAGACTGTCGGGAGCCATTTTTGCACTTGAAGTCATAAAAATAATCACGGTTCTCAAGGCTTACCGTGTTACAATTACCTTTTGATGATATAATAATGCTCTGTGGAACACAATGTCTTGGTTGGATGTGGACTGTATTTATGTAATGAAACACTTGTTGTATTTCACTTCTTGTATTAATGTTCTTCGATAAAACACTTTGATAAAACTCACTTCGATAAACTGTCTTGATAATACTAACTGATTGACTTCCATATACTGACTGAACTATAGGGTTGTACCACAATTAACAAAAAAAAAAATAAAATAAATAAAAAAATGAGTAGCCTCCTTGACTGTAGTGGCCCCCTCGGGGCTTGGGGAAGTGAATAATTTTAAAAAAAAACTTTAAAGAAAATTCAAAAACATGCTACTAAAATATGACACAATCTTTGCAACCTTAATTACTATAATTGCTATAAAAGTGGAAAAGCGGAAATTATCCACAGAGAATAAAAAATAATTTTAAAAAAAGGAAACGAAGTCTAAACAAAGTATAAAATTGAAATTGGATGTAAGAAATATATTTTGATAATAAAAAAAAAATAAAAAAAAAATAATTTCTTTAACAAAAAAAAAAAAAGTCTTGAGCATTTTTTTCAAAATTTTTGTACTGTTTTTTTTTTTTTTTTTTTTTTTTTAGGTTTGCTATTTTCGGCTACGAAATTTGATACAAGTCAAGGAAAAGACGACGATAAGTCATAAAGTTTTCACGAAAATAAAGACTTGATACGTAATTTATTTACGAATTTTATCAGACAATGTATTAAAAAACTGATTCATTATTTACGCTAGACAAATTTGGTTAAACTTTTGAATTTAATTTAGTTTTTACGAAGGTTTATGCAAAGGCAATGACTTTCTTCCTCAATACTTAGACAAGAAAATAAATTGCTGTTTTAATTATTAAATATATTATTTGAGATTTTAAACATAACAAAATTTTAATGCGAAAAAAGTTCTCTCTCAACTTATTCTAAACTGATTATACTGAGTCAATGCTCACCCTTTAGTACGTTGAAATTATTCAATTGCATAATTTTGTTATTAAGAAAGAAGTTAAAAAAATAATTGCATTGCTTCTGTTGTCATTGTTACGAAAACAGTTCCTTCGGGACATTATTATATACTAGCAGTAAGCAACCCGTAATAAATAAATCATTACTACCAATTTGATATTTATTTACTTTCTCTAATAAAATATAAATTTATTTATACAGAAAGCAACCCATAACACGGGTTAGTAGTAAATAAATCATTACTAACAATTTGATCTTTATTTAATCTCTAATAAAATATAAATTTATTTATACATTTTTTTAGTTGAGCTCACTT